GCGTCTTCAGCGCAGAGACGTTGTTGTAGCTCAGATAAGCCTGGGGCGGGGGCAGCACGTCAGGGGCAGGAAGGGGGGGCCGGAGGCGGCGACCACCCCCGCGGGGCAGCACCCACCTTGTTGCTTTGGTCCCAGGGCACGGAGAGCGGCACCTCGGTCTGTTTGCAGGAGACGACGTATTTTCTGCGGGAAAGGAAGGATTTCCCTTCCGGTGGGACACAAAGCACCCACAGACTGTCCCCGTAGTCCAGTGCCGAGCCCCCCTCTCCTCCCTCCTCCATCCCTGCGTCCCGCTTGCTTTCTCCACTCACCGGTCCAGCCGAATTTTTTTCCTGGCGCTGGCTTCTCTGTACCTCCTCTCTCCTTCCTGAGAAATGGGAAAAGCACATGAGGTTAACAGGAAAAGGAAGGGGGGGAAAAGATATCTTTTGGGGAGTGGTCAAAATTTCTTCAATATTGGGATCCGAGCGAACTGTGGATCAGGGCGCTTTGAAAGGCGGAAACAACCCAGGAGGTTTGCATTCTTTCCCCTAAATTACAGAGAAGATGAGCTCAAACTTGCAGGCAATATTACATTAAGCCTTGCATGGCCAATACATCTCCATCTCTGCACGGGCAAGTGGTTTCTTTTGTTATTAGTTATAGGGAGCAGTCAGTTTAATTCACTCGCTATCGAGCAATTTGATTGCCATCATCATAAGATGGCTTTTGTTTTGCCTTCCAGGGCCAAGCAGGATTCCTGGGGGTCCCAGGCCACCGCGGCGAGGAGAAGCCAGCCCGTCCCGTCCCGTCCTTACCCCCGGCTCGGGTGCCACCATCGGCAGGGTGCAGGTCTGGCCCTCCTCGTCCAGCACCACGAAGGTCATGAAGGCGCTGTTGATGTGCCTTCGGCTGATGGACATCTCCTGGCCGTACGCCTCGGCGCAGACCCCCACCTCCATGCTTGGGGGAGAGGTGGAGGAGAAGGGGTGAGGAGGAGGAGAGCTGCCAGAGGGTGGGATGGGGACCCCCCGCCCGCCAGCACCCACCTGTTCTTGAAGGCGTTGTTGACGATGGCTTTGAGCACCAGGCGGTCCCCGACTTGCGACGGTCCCCGAAAGTGGAACATCTCGATGGTCCTCAGCGTGGGGTGGGCAGGGGACAGCCGGCTGCGGAGGGCAGGGGTCACCCCCAGGCCGCGGCACCCCGACAGCCCCAAGCACCCTCCCTGCCCCCGTCAGAGCTGAGAAGACCCCAAAAAAAGTCACCTCTGGCTTTCAACTGCCAAAACCAGCCATGAGAAGGGACAAGAAGCAGCGTGACGAGTGCGAACCCCTCCCCGGGCTCCTCGAGCACCGTGCTCCCGTGGGACTCCCTGTACAGCATCACCCGGGGTGGATGTGCCGGGGACCTTTGGAGGGTCCCTACAACCCAGCTGTGGCCCGACCCGGCTGGACACTGCTCCGGCCGTGTGTCCCCTCCAGGCACGCCATGCCCCCTCCCAGCCCCGAATCCCCGTCGGGTCACCTGGCTGCAATGGTGGCCACGTTCTCCATCCAGGCCATGATTTGCCCACCGAAGGTGTTGCCCTGATGGTTGGCATGCGGGGGCAGCACCAGCTCCACGCTCTCCTCCCGTGTCTTCTCCGCCGGCACTGCCACGCTG